AAATACTTCAACAATAATTAATAAATAAATTTATAGAAAAAAACGTACATTGTGTCAGAGACACAATATATGTGTGAAGAAATGCTTTTGAAAAATTTCTTCGAGAATCATATTCTTATTTTCTTTATATATCATGTCTCTTAATTAATATTAGTGTCACGAAAGAAACAATTTCCGTTTAAAATAGCATACGATACGTAAATAGATAAACAGTTGCATTTTATTTGTTAATATTAAAATGTTGTGACTGTAACAGTTTTTAAAAGTAAGTGATGTTTGAAGATAATAAATTTGTTTGGAAGTTGTACATACGTAACATACACTCTATGATATTCATATATTATATATTCATACATACGAATATTTGATGCTTCAAGTACTCCGTACGAGACAAACTCTACTCGAAGATCAATTGACATCGATCATCGAGAAAGTCGTTCGATTAGGAGATCTATAAGAATAAAATTGCGAGATGATCACGAAAATTCTTTTTTTGGCTATCTCTCAATTGGATCTTATCCACAATATTTTAAAGTACTCTTCGACACTAGTTCCTCAAATTTTTGGATACTATCTAAAAACTGCCATAGTAATACCATGGCTTGCGGTAAGTATCTTTTGTTATTTATTTCTTTGATGTTTTATTATTTATATTAATATATTTGTATCTATTAATATTATATTTGCATTTTTTATTTTAATTGATTTAAAGTAAAAATAATAGAAATAATGCAGTATTGTTAATTATGTCTTCCATTTGCATTCCAAAGTTGCGTTCGGAAATGCTACCTAGGTGTATCATCTTATTCTCGTTTGATATTGGTTAAGCATCAAGGATAAAACGATATATTGAGGCATTCGAATAGCGTTTCTGAACGAACCCCAAAAATTTTTAAAGTTTTTAAATTTCAAATGTTGAAAGTTTTCTTACGTAAACATTATAGAACTGAGTTTTACAATAACATGTTGACATATATCACGCTAATTCTAAAGATACAAATAATATTTGATACAATTCACGTATTATAGCGAAAGATAAATAAAATATTTAATACAAAATATTATTAAAAATACATATATTTAAATTAACGGAATTAAATTAATTTTTGATGTCACTCTCTCTCCTTCTCTCTCTCTCTCTCAATTGATATGTTTTAAGAACTTCTTTTTATAGCTTCAAAATCAAATATGAATTATGACGATAGCAAATCAACGACATACATACCAAGTAATACTTCATTCGATATTGAATACAATGGTGATATTATCTCCGGATATGTATCTACTGATGTAACGTATGTGAGTCAAATTACATTTAACCACAATTTTAATCTATGAAAGTTTTCTTAAAGACATATTAATTTTTTGTAGTTTGGTTTTACTAACCTAATTACTATTCAAAATCAGACATTCGGAAAAGCAATAAGCTATAAACGGCAATTTCGGTTTATTCCAAATTATCAAGGAATCATAGGAATGGGTTATTCCACATCAGCTACAGGAATTCCCGTTCTCACTAACATGGTTCAACAAGGCCTATTGTTGCGACCCGTTTTTAGTATCTATATGAAGAGAGAGTATGTACTTTTCGTATACGCTACGTGCGTCTATATTAATATCTTCTCAGGGAGTTATCGTTAAATGTTAAGAGATTTAATTGACAAAATTTTTTTACTTAAACAATTTGTTTTTTCACATTAGAAATATTGTTTTTTGCATATTAAAAAATATATTATTTAATGTGTTATTAACTTTAATCTATGATGTGACTTCGATTTTTTGTAGGAATTTCATGTATTTAATTTCTAAACTTTTAATTTATTTTTTGTGGTAAAGTAGAGCAAAGTAGTTATGACATTGTTTAGCTGTGACAATCGCACATAGGTTATTATATTCAGCGCAATAATATTCGTCTATGTACTATGTTACAAGCATAGACGTGTATATATGTATTTTAGTCATTTATTGTTAAATATTTGCATTTTTCAATTTTCCTCTTGGCTATATTGATTATACCTGCTTTATCTTAATTATTTGGCTGAAGAAGATTTAATATAGTCGAAACATTCCATGCATAAATTATTAATGAATTACTAAATGAATTACTGAATGAATTATAATGAATTAATTCTTTGTTGATGTTTCAATAAACTAGTTTTAGTCTATGATCCAATTAATTGCTCATTTATTTGACCAATTTTATTAAATAATGTATAATCTTTATAGATACAAGACATCTGAAGTAGTCGGTGAACTAATACTTGGTGATATCGATAGCAGTCTTTATGTAGGCAAATTGACGAATGTTAATGTTACTCGTAAAGGATACTGGCAATTTAACATGAATAAGTACATGATTATTTTCTAAATTACACTTACATATGTTAATCACGAACTATATTATATAGTTAATTATTAATGCTATCGTACTTTAGAGTTCAACTAGGAAATAATACATTATGCGAGAATGACTGTCAAGCTATTATTGACTCGAGCAATGTCCGGATATCTGGACCGCCATCAGCTATCGCAGTTATTAATAAATATATCAGAAATATTAGTCTTAACGATCCAGCAGTTGTAAGTAATAGATGACATTTCTTGCAGTAGTAATTCTCTTTTAATAATACTAAATAAACCACTGACATAAATTAATAATAAATGTTTATATATTACTGATTATATTAATAGATATGAATGATAATGCTTAGTTTCGTTTAAAGGTGCACTGCAAACAGATTTATAAGTTGCCCGATATCTATTTTATCATAGGTGGAAAAGTATTCGAACTTACTAGCGAAGACTATATGATTAAGGTAAATATTGTTAAATAGCGCCGAGACATTACCGTGTCTTCAGATAACGTTTTAAATTTGCTTTAGAATAGAAACATCATAACGTATTCAATTCATTACAGTCCACATTAAGCTATGATCCATCCTGTATAAGTCCCTTCGTAAATAATAACATTTTGGATAAGGACGGTCCAACGTGGGTTTTAGGCAATCAATTTCTCCATCGGTATTATACAAAATTCGACATGGGGAAAAATCAAATGGGATTCGCCCATATAAGATAAATAATTTCTTAAGATGTTATTGTTAAGTGGTACAAGATTTAAATGATAATAATTGGATAAAATTTTTTTGAAGCATTGATTCTTGATTCTTAAGGGTGTTATCTTGTAATTCTTATTTGCAATTACTTAAGCGATACAGTTAGATAAATACATATGTTATATTTTAGAAAATTAGAACGGAGATATGCAACATTATTTTTACTAATGATTTAGGGCAGCCTATTATTTCAATATAATATTATATTGTTACATAACATTATGAATCTGATTAAGTCTATTATAATAAAGTATATATATTTTTTATAATACACGACTATTTAAATATGTATGTATGTAATAAAACATTATATTATCATTTATATAAACCCATCTTATGAAAAACAAACAATACATTTTTTTTTCTTACGTCTTTCATTTATAATGATATAAGAAATTAGTTCAAATCCTGGGAAGATTAGAATATAGACTTTAGGATGTCCAAAAAAACAAAATAAATATTGGTATAAGATAGGATCATCTCCCCAGAAAGAGTAAAAAAAGGATGAATTTAAATTTCGATCGGTTAAAAGTATAATAATGACTCCGGCAAGTACGGGAAGAAAAAAGAGTAATAAAATAGCTGTAATGAGAATCAAAGTAAAGCTGTAATTGATCAAAGTAAAAGGAGAATTTTATCTATAGATATAATTTTTTGGTGTATATTTAAATGAAGATTAATTTCATATCTTTTTTGTTAATCATTGAATTTATTTACATATGTCCAATCTACGCATATACTCAAAATATAAATTTTCTTTTTCACATATAATTGTAAAATGCCATATTCGATCAAGGAGGTTTTTCGTGATGAATAATATTTCCTAATAATATAAGAATTTATACAATTTTTAGTTCGAACAAGATTCTTTTTTTTTACACACATATTGTTTTAAATTTAGTATTATTTTTTTTAAGAATAAAAGTATGAGCCAAGTACAAATATATCAAATATTAATAAGATTGGAAATAATAAGATTAGAAATATATCAAATATTATATTTTCCATAAAATCAAAAACGTATTTATTTTCTTAATAAATGTTTTAAATATAATTATTAAAAAATTGATAACAAATGTACAAAATCACACTGTAATTGGTGAAGTATCTCATTACTTAAGATCGACAAATGATGTTTTAAATTTGAAAATAGAAATATCATGCTGCGTTCGTTATAGCTCGAAATAATCAGAAAACGTGTATAAGTGCTTTTGAGTAGGCGGGATCCGAGGATATATACAAAAATCGATGTGAAAAATCGATGTGTGTTGGACAATGTATTTCTTATCGAATTTGACATAGGGAAAATTAGAGCTGCTTTCATATTATCTACATTTATCAAAGTGATTTTAATATGTGTATGTAATTTAATTTTCCATGTAAAAATGATACTATATTACGCATTTAAATATATAAATCTATTTATACATGCATAGTGTATTATTTTTATGCGAAAAACTAATCACACACATATTGAAGTCACTTTATACACTTGCAGTATACTCTTCATACGTAACTGTCACATAGTGCGATTCAAGTATGGGATAGTTTAATATTTGTTTTAGCTATATAAGGAAATAATATAGTTTCTAATAATATAATCAAATTTTTGATAATTTTAATCGAAAATATATTAATAGAATTCCGAATCGAACTATTATAAATCTACATAATATCATAAGACAGAACGCGAATTGCAAGCCGCAAGCTTCTTATATCAGCCAATCTCGAAGCGTTACTTTTAAAATTGACACATCGGATTGCTTTAGAACTCTTTGAACGTTCTCTCTGTCCTTTTCGTCCTTTTAAACTCGTAAATGTAAATACGTACTTCAGTTATATAAACCGAATGTTGTGGACAGATTCGAAAGAGAATTACCACGTTCCTAGAATCTTCTTGGAGCTCAGTCAGGCAATTGAGAAACATGTTTCAATCTTTCGTGGTGGTAGTGATACTTTTTGTGTTGATCAACGCAGAATTGCTAAGGTATATAAACGTTAATTCGCGATGAATACATCAATTAAAATAAATTTAAGAAAAAACGTACATTGTGTCAGAGTGAAGAAATACTTCTGAAGAATTTCTTGAAGAATCATATTCTTATTTTCTTTATATATCATGTCTTAAGTAATATTAGTGTCACGAAAGAAACAATTTCCATTTAAAATAGCATATGATACGTAAATAGATAAACAGATGGCATTTATTTGTTAATATCAAAATGTTGTGACTGTAACAGTTTTTAAAAGTAAATTGTTTTTCGATCGATTGACATCGATCATCGACAAAATCGTTTGGTAAGGAGATGTTGTTATATGAATAAATTTGCGAGATGATCACGAAAATTCTTTTCTTGGCTATATCTCAATTGGAGATCAATCTTTACCACAATATTTTATCATGAAATATATTTGAAAATTCCTTTGAGACTTTCATTTTTATCATCATGTCTTGAATAATATTAATGTTACGAAAAGGCAATTCGAATTTAAATCTGGATCTACAATAAATGTCTTAAGCCTTAAAAAAATTGGTCAATTACAATGAATGCCAGGAGAATTATTCACTATGGTTCGTCCATTTCTTGTGCTTAAAAATTCATTATAGATCCAGGCTGAAATAGCTAAACATCATATGATATATAAATAAACATGCAATATTTATTTCTTAATACTAAAATATATGTATGTTGAGGCTTTATTAGTAAAAAGTATTTGAAAATAATCAATCGGTTTGTTTGAAATTGTTCTACATATGTTATACGATATTCGTATATTCATGTATGATACATGTCTACATATAATATAATTGAGTTTTCTTTATGTTGTTTCAAGAATTCCACTACACCAAACAAATTTTACTCGAAGATCGAGTAGCATCGATCATCGTTCGAGTCGTTCGGTTTTTAAAGTAAGACAATATTTGATTAATGATATGGATTTTGCATATTATGGCATTATCTCAATAGGAACTCCATCACAGGAATTTAAAGTACTTTTCACCACTAACTCTCCACATTTCTGGGTACCATCTATAAAATGCGAAGAATTCTCTTGCTGTACATATTATACATCGTTATATATATATTTTTGGCATATTGTTTATAGTTATATTATTTTACAAATATATTTAATAATATTATAGTTGTCTCATATATGAGAATAATTTTAATTGCTTTTTTTTATTTTATTGATGTAAATAAAGTAGAAGTGTATAATAGAAATAATGTAGTAGAATTATAGACTCTTCCATACATATTTTATGTTAAACTTATAAAATATTTAAAATTAAAATTTTTAAAATTTCACAATTTAAAGTCACTGAGTAAATAAATATTATAGAAGTAAGTTTCACATTTACATACAGTTTATTTTATATATCACGCTTATTCTAAAGATACAAATGATATTTAATACAATTCATGCGTTGTAGTAAAAAATATAAATATAAATATATTTGATTTAAACTATCGTTAAATATATATACATTTAAATGAATAAAGAGTACGGTATTGTTAAATTTAAATTATTAAAGAAAATAATAGAATTTATTAATAATTGAAATTAATAAATTATATTAAATATAAATATATTTAAATGAATAAAGAAATATTAATTTTTGGAACCTGTTGTATTAACTGATATATTTTAATGATTTATTTTTTATAGACAAATATAATAAATATGATAGAACTAAATCATACACATATGTACAAGATGATACTCCAGTGGATATTGAATACGATAGTGGTGATCTGTCCGGATATTTATCTGGTGATACATTGAATGTGAGTAAATAGCATCAAGCAAATAGTTCGATTTCATTTCAATTATAATCTACAAAAATTTCTTTTTAAAAAAAATATCAATTTTGTATAGATTGGTGGTCTTGACATTCCACATCAAATATTTGTGGAAGCAACAAGTATACAACAATATAGTTCTCATTTGGTGAAATACGATGGTATCTTGGGAATGTGTTACCCCATAAGAACTGCTGAAGGAACGATTCCTGTTCTTACAAACTTATATCAACAAAACTTATTATATAAACCCGTTTTTGGTTTCTATCTAAAACGGCATGTATCTTTGTGTGTGTGTGTGTGTGTGTGTGTGTGTGTGTATGCGCGCGCGCGCCATGCTTATCTAAAAGTTTTTTACTTAAATAATTGGTCTTTCTATATTAGAAAATATTATTGCCCATTTATATTAAAAAATATATAATCTATACAGATATTCTTCATCAGTTGATAGTGAATTAATAATCGGTGGCTCTTACCCCGATCTTTACAATGGCGAGCTTACGTATGTTCCTGTTACCAACAATGGATACTGGCACTTTATAATAAATCGGTACGTTATTGTTTTCTGAAGTACACGTATGTCAACCGTGGATTATATACCAGCTATTTGTTAATGCTATCATATTTTAGGATTGTAATAGGACATAGCACCATATGCTTGCACTGTGAAGCTATCGTCGACATAAGCACTTCCCACATAATTGGACCATTAATAGAAATCGAAGCTATTAATAGATACATAGGACATGAAATTAATGGAGTAACAATTGTAAATAATAGATAACTCTACAGTAATTCTTTTGCAACAATATTAAATAAATTATTAAAATATACTAATAAATATTTGCTAACACTAAGTTTTGTTTAAAGGCTAACTGCGACAAGATTTCTAATTTGCCCAGTATCTACTTCGACCTAGGTGATAAACTATTTGAACTTACTAGTGAAGATTATATTATTGTGGTAAATATCGCGTGAAATGACGTTGTAAAATGTTTTAGAATAGAAACATTATGCGGCATTCAATTTGTTATAGCTCGAACGATATAATGTATGTACGAGTGCCTTTATGGATGCAGTTTTGCATGAGAACAGTCCCAAATGGATTTTGGGAAATGTATTTCTTCGTCGCTACTATACGGAGTTCGATATGAAAAACAATCAAGTGGGATTTGCTCCTTCAAAATAAATAATTTTTTAAAAAGTTAAATGCCAGAAGATCTAATAAATGACAATAATAAGCGTACAATTAGGTCAATCAATAATTTTTCTTTAGAAAATTGTTGATATATAAAATAATATATTTAGGAACATTATATTTAAATAAAATAAAAAAGTCGATATATGAAATCAATATATAATATACAAAAGAATGTATATTTTATTTTAATAATTATATTCACGTTATGTAACAATGCAATATTATGTTGAAAGAATAGACTAATAAAATTTTATCAATTCATTAAGAAAGAAGAGAAAATTTATAATATATGAAATAATACATTTAGAAACATTATATTTAAATAAAATAGAAAGGTCCTTCCTAAATGTATTATTTCATATATTATAAATTTTCTCTTCTTTCATATAAATATTGTATTATATAATATCATTAATACTATATACAAATTTGTATTTTAAACATATTTTGAAGATCTCACTTGGACTAGATATTAGACAGTGCTAAATAAATACATACAGTGGCGGAAGATAATCAGATGTAATTTCGATGTATATATGAGAATTATAAAATAAAATTCGCTTGCAAGTTGAAGAAATTTATCTTCATACAAGTTTCGATGATTCAATAAGAGAAAATGTTATATCACACTACATAATTAATAATAGTTAAACATTCCGCGAAGTGTGCATTATACCATTTTACTATTTTTTTCGCAAGATTCAATCTATAAAAAAAACTTCAAATAAATTCTGCACAAAATCATTTTCCAAGTTAACATTTTCGGGATTTCGTCGTTTGTCTAGTTTTTAGTTTCTTTCCGGTATTCTTTTTGATTCCTATTTGGTTCTTAGGTCTAGAAACCGATTGACCAATTATCAATTCCAATATGAAGACTGTAGTGGCGCAAGTATATCCCACGATCAGAAAATAAAAGCTGAACGCAAGCTGCTTTAGCAACATCACTTTAAAGCCTTTTTTGTTCGTATTATTCCTAAATCTCTCGCGTCTAATTTCCATGACAGAGTCAGCTCTGGATTTTACGATTAAGCCGGCCTGAATCATGTGTCGAATAATATCATTCACCCGTTGGTACAATGGCCAATCTTCACGAGTGACATACGATTTTGTTAACTCTATCAGTATTCTCGATTTAATAAGGTCTTGGCCCTTAATTCTGTAGTACAGGTGGTGACAGTCCCCCAAACACACAGCATTCGTCGAATTCTCTACGAATTCCTTGCATTCTTCGTACGTGACCTCCACGTAGCGCGATTCCAGTTCAGGATCGTTCAATAATAGTTTGAATTGACGTGGTCCGTATATAATGTATCCGGATTTCTGTAAAAAGATAAATATAATTTAAATATTAAACATATTGTATTATATTTGACATATATGTTTATATATATATGTATCAATTGTATTATAATACAATATAGGCAAAAGAAGGGCAGAAGAGCCAATATTTTTAGTGGCAAAAGAACTTTAATTTAGATCATAAAATTCATATAATAATAACAAAGGACAAAAACATACGTTTCGACTCCGCTCGAGTCATTCTCAATGTTGCGGTAAACATACAAATAATATATATAATAAATAATATATGTAATAATATATATAATAAAAAAATGATGTACCTTGTCAGTTATATTAGTAAATGTGTTGAGAGTCCATTAATAAAAAAAGAATTCATTAATAAAAACTATTTCTGAAGATTCCTTTGAATCTTGCATTTTTATTTTATATATATATATATATATAGTGTGTGTGTGTGTGTGTGTATATGTATCAAATATATAAATAAATATCTACATACACACATATTATCAATTAGTGATGCCGTGCTATCAAGCATTAATAATTTTATTTTAAAAGGAAAATAGTTTTTATTATTGTGTTAAAGGGATTAAATAAAATTTAAAACAATTAAAATTGTAATAAAATAAAAGCGAACCTATTAAAACCATTAGCTTCAAAATATTCTCTTTTTTATTTAAAGAGATCATTTGATATTTACTGTTCTTTTACAGAACTTCGTATCTACTTTACAAAAGATAGGAAAAGATGACTCTGTTTTTGTTTATGTTGATTATAAACAACATGAATAAAAATAAATTTATATTTAGATTTGTAGTCGTATATGTGAAAAGCGAACAATAAAATAAAACACATATAAAAAATAAGAGCATAAAAAACCACAGCACAAGTTATAGTTTGTGATATTTAATTATTATTACATTCATTAAAACATTAAACGTTTCGGCCACAATCTGGCCATCTTCAGTAATTCAATAATATTCTTAAAACGCAGAGTTACATCTAGTTGACATTAAATTCAACAGTCGAGAGTTGTAATTAAATAAACATGTTCTTTTGTATGTGAAGATGCTTCATGCAGTAATGTTACACGGTCAATTGTCATATCAAGAAAAGTGTAGAACAAGAATTTCCTGATTCTAAATGAAATTATATATATTAAAATCTCCTAGTCAGAATATAAAGAAAAAGAATCATTACCTGTTTTACAGCAAAAAAACCAAACGATGAATCTCGAATATTTCTTTTACACAGTTAGAATTTGGTCGTGACATTATGTGTTGTTATTTGTCCTATCATATATTTTACCACTATTTATATATCTGAGTCAAAATTTTTAGAAAGTTCTAGAATTGTTTATTAACAGAAAGAGACATCCTTTTTTAGAAGAGGAAAATAAACCTCAGGCAAACCTTCCGTGTCACTTTGCTTATTGATACCACTTGATTGTTTTTTTATATGTATCATTTCCGAAATTCTTCTTTTCGCTAAAGATTGTTCTCTATCTAAAATTCTTATATTATCCCAATCTAATTCATGCATCTCATTCATACGGTGGCGTGAGACCACAAAATAAAACTTTATTATTACCTTAAGATTTTCTATGGTGTCAATATCGCGGTAATAAATCGGCACGGTGAGCAATGCCGACAGATGGCTTTGAAATAAAGCGTTTATGTTGAGGAACAGAATCAATATCATGCATACAAAAATTCTGGTGGAACTAATTTTTGGTGGATGTAGAATTCCCACGCAGATTACAAGTCTTATCACCTGTAAGCCGGCTTTTATGTATCCTTCGCTCTTCGTAAATAGTACATAAGCCAACAGACACATTATGACAATTCCTACTATCACTTCTGGTGACATAAACTTTATTAGCTTGGTATATTGAGAGACTTTTGAACGTGGTTGTGCTATCACACAGATACCTGTTCTTGTATGGGGATATGTGTATCTGAAAGATAAATGTTATTTATTATTATTATTTATTAAATATTATTCTATATTATTATTATATTAATATTATTCTCATTGATTATTTCTCTATTATACTAGGTGGGGTGAAAAGTAACCTCCTTGGGAATGAAAAAAATTTTTTTCTTATGCAGAATCTCGCCCAAAATATGGCGTGTTCGCTCAGTACTAATCTTTGTAGCATCTGCTAGCTCGCGCACCTTCACTTTCCGGTCAGCCAACACCATTTCATGTATTTTTTTGACATTTTCCTCGGTAACCGCATCGGAGGGCTTGCCGCTGCGGACTTCATCGGTAGTGGAGTTGCGGCCACCACGAAACTCTCGAAACCAATATTTGACGGTGTAATCTGACGGAGTATTAGCCACATAATATTTATCCAACTTTTCTTTTGTTTCCTTCGCCGTTTTGCCTCTCAAAAAATAATGTTTTATGAGAGAACGAAAATCGTTTTCGCAAACACGTCAACAACAATCAGCTCTCAAAACAAAACTAAGGGCAGTATCGCACTGCCACTTGGCATGTCTGCCTAAATATGAACGGACTACAAGGCACCATAAACTTTTTTGCAGTAGTGGCGCATTCTGGCGGTCAAGGAGGTTACTTTTCACCCCATCTAGTATATATAAACACATTCTTTTCTCTTGTAAAAGTACATTGTAAAACGTGGTTGCAGCGCCAATTATCATATTGCAAATTATGTAGAAAGAACAAGAATCTCCAGATTCTAATTTAAAAAATTATAATATCGTTAATATCTTCTAATCAATTTGATAAGGATTAACAATTCGTTAACTGTTTTACAGAATGACGAATCTTAAGCACTTTCCTCACGTAGATGGAAATTTGTTCCTGACATTGTGTATTATTATTTATCCATATCTTCATATGTGTCCGCTATTTATATGTGTGTCAAAAGTTTAGATTACTCTAAAATTATTTTTAAGTGTAAGAGAGATCTTTCTTTAGAAAAGGCAGATAAATCAGGCAAATCTTCAATGTCACTTTGCTTATTAATACTACTTGGCTTTTTATATATATCATCTCAGAAATTCTTCTTTTGATTGATGATTCTGTGTCTAAAATTCTAACATTATCCCAATCCAATTCATGCATCTCATTAACTGGTGGCGTGAAATTACTGACCTATTGGAGGTGGATCTTCTTATGTCAACATTATGTTCTTTAATTCGAGTTTTTAATTTCCTTTTTGTTTGACCAACGTAAGAAGACTCACAATCCAGACAATTTATCTTATAAAATATAAAGTCTTATTACGTTGGCTAAACAAAAAGGAAATTAAAAACTAAATTATTTATTAATGTAATTATATTAAATATCACAAAGAATATCTTGTGTTGTAGTTTTGCTCTTCTTTTTGTTAAGTTTTGATTTATAAACCACGTTTGTTATAATTATATATTTTAATATTATTCATTTATTAAACATTATTCTACATTAATTTTTTATATTTATCATGAGATATTATATTACGATGACATCGAACGATTATCAACTATAAAATTTCAAAAATTTTGACCCTATTTTCTTACTTTGACGTAATAGAATTCTATCCTAGATTTGAATTCATAAAAACTGACTTTTCTTTTTCAAATGATAAAGAAAAATCAAAGGAAAATGTTAAGTCAGGGCCATTTTTCGGCCAAAATAAAAAAGTTCCGAGATATACAAGTTATACTCATATATCATATTCAAGCGGATTAGAATGGTATATTGTTTATCTTGAGGAACATCAA